CATCACCACTCAAAATGAATGTTGTTTGTAAAATGATGCAGTGGTTGTAAATGTTTGACCCCACTATCCAGTAACCAAAACATGTTTGAAAATGTTATATCTTAATAATAATTTTACATTGCTAACTGTAACTGCTTGACTGAAATGGAGAGTGTATCTAAAATATTGTCATATTTTTCTATTTTAAAACAAATAAATCATTTTGCCCATCAATTTTTTTAAATTCAAACTTTCAGGTGAGTTTTTAAAAATAGTTTTTCAATTAAGTGATCTTTTAAAAATATGCTTCATTTATTAATTTAACACATTTTTAAAGACGCAGCATAACATTTTGGAAGCACTGAAATAGGCAAAATAAGAGTAAGAGTGGATGTAATACCGTCTTTAGGATTAATTTTTCTTAGATTTTTAATCATGAAATATGAAGTTTATTTTTTTAGTTAATTTAAGTGTTGTTCCATATTTTTGTTATTTTGCAACTTGTAGTCAGTTAGATAACTATTAATTTTGGCATGTAATTAAAATCATTGGGTAGCTGGCTACCAAATTCAATCTGTAAGTATCATTTCTACCCTAATCTGATTGTTGATCAAAAATTTTTCTACAGTGAGTGAAGTATCTTAGCTGAGGTTATAACTGCCAGTATAAGATTTAACATGATAAATGGCCAGAATTTTGTAAACATGAAGAACCACTTAATCACAGTATGAGCAATTTAATTGCACTTTGTTTCATTTTTAATTTTTGTTTTTGTTTGGCATTCCATTTTATTCATGAGGAATTTTGTTATTTTGCTTAAAATATACTTTATTTAATCATATATAATCATTTTATTTTCAAAATTTACATACATGCCAATAACCTGAGTTTCATTTATAATTATTTTTCTTGTAATCCTTGTTGCCTGCATCATCATTACATTCAGGTTCTACTTAAGAACTGCTACAACTGTTGTTACAGCTACCCACCAAATGTTAACCAAGTGATTTCTAATTATCTCCCCATCACATTATTTTTGTTAAATTTAAATAAATTAAATGAATTATCTTAATAAGGCTGTGCTACTTCTATATATTGAAAAGATTTGAAGTATAAAAATACATCTTTGTGGGTGAACGTGGCCATGAAAGAGAACCAGTAATGTTGGTTTTATTTAAATATCTACATTTCAGATAATTGGATGGGTTGGTGTGTGTGTGTGTGGGGGGGGGGGGGTTGTTACAATTATAGGGTTGTCATCGTGGGGGGTTAATTTAAGAGAAAAAAATGTATAAACCATTTGTCCAAGGCAGAGGGTATTTAGAATATGTAATTCTAAACAACATTTTTTTGGATGGGTTGGTGTGTGTGTGTGTGGGGGGGGGGGGGTTGTTACAATTATAGGGTTGTCATCGGGGGGGGATAATTTAAGAGAAAAAAATGTATAAACCATTTGTCCAAGGCAGAGGGTATTTAGAATATGTAATTCTAAACCACATTTTTGTCCCCCCTCTCCTGATCTGCAAGTGGTTGTCACCCATGTTGGTCCGTGTATAAGGCAGTTTTGAATTGAAGTCTTCTATAACTGACTTTTTCACTGGCTTTCCAGGGGCAGATTATAGGATATTTTACTGAACTCTCATGGTGTCGTGAACCACTGCTGCTTGCCAGTTACACCAACACCTTATTAATTTGTCTCTCGCTTTAGCTGTGTGGTTGTCATAACTTCTATTTTAAATCTGTATTGTGTGATATGTTGTTTATATATTTATTATTTTATGTGTACTTGCCCAGTAAGAGCAGAGAAGAGTTTAATGTATATAACAACTAGACTAGATCAAAGACTGGTTTAATTTTACATTTTTACCTTTATCATGCATTTTAGCGATTGATTTAAGTGCCTTTAAACATTTTTTTTAAAAATGATACTTCCCTTGTATCAAAATCTTGAAACACACCAATATTTTACGTGACACTGGTTCAAAATAGCTGGTATATAGTAATTCAAAGCAAAATGACATAAATAACTAATATAACCAAAGTAATATAAATCTATTAACACTTTTCTTATGCACTGTGTCCTAATGGAACAGCCCATATTTTTCATAATTTTTTTAATGGTGTGTCAGTGCCTTTTTAACTTTTAGTAATTTTTGTCTTAAGATAATATAAAAGTGAAAAATTAATTGTAAATGCTTTTTAAGTAGATAATGGTCATTGTTTAAAAAATTGCAGAGTATGTTGTAAGTGGTCATCATTGAAAATTAAATGCTTTTTATGCATGATAGAGTCATCTTATAGAAAAATAATTCTAGGTTGGAAGTGGTCAGGTTTTAGAAAAGCACATTAGAAAAAATCCTTTATGTTATGGGTGATAGAGGCTTATGCTAAAAGTGGCGATAAACTTTTTGACAGACGAATGAAATTCATTGATAATTTGATTTTACTGGTGTTTGAATCTGTCTCAAAGTCTGCACTTGCGTGGCTGTAAATGAAACAATTTTTTCTCTGCTGGTGTGTAATGGAGAATATGCCATGTTTAACATATAGTACTACTTAAGTGGCAAAACCTTTCATGGGCCTTAACCTAAGTGCCTATGCCCATATACAGGGATGTTGTTTTTATGTTGCTCATCTTCCAAACACTCACCATATCAATAAACCCTGTAGATGAAGTAAATTTATCACATTTTGAAAGTGGATAGATTACCTGAAAAAGCTTTACTTTCTTGTGTATAGAAAAAAAAATGTGACTGACAAATGACAGGACTGTAAAAATGACTTTGAATCAGACTGATTTGTAAAAAATATTGTTTGTTTTCTTTAAGTTTAAATAACACATTTGATTAGTTGTCTATGCACTTCTACAAAAACTTCAGTATTTAAATTTAAATAAAATGTTTCATACACTTCTTTTCTGTTTCTTTTTTTTTTTTGGTTTGTTTAAAATTGGTGTTGAAATATTCTATTTAAAAAAAAAAAAGAATAATGACTCATGAGCTTTATTTTTTTTTTTTTTTTTTTTGGTTTGTTTAAAATTGGTGTTGAAATATTCTATTTAAAAAAAAAAAAAGAATAATGACTCATGAGCCTTATTTTTAATAAGCCTGCAGTTGCTGCATGAGGCATTTTGAACTCTCCATCTCCAGTTAATGATACCTGCGATGGAGTTTGAGTTGATGAGCTCAAATAGCAATCAGATTTGACCAAATGTATACCAGGACATAACCTGCTGGTTTTACATCAAAATAAGGGTGAGAAAGATGAATTATTTATTCTTAAAACAATAATTACTATGAAGTACAATACAGCTTTGCTAAGTTGCAGCATATTTTTAGAGGAGAAAAGTACTATCAGCAATTGCAAAGACAAAAAATAAATTTTATTTTATATCAGTGTAATTTATTTTTAATAAAAATAATATATTTTTTTTTATTATTACTGTAACATTTTTTAAGGTATAGGTGAGAGCATTTTTCATGGAGACTGGTAGCTCAAATTTTGGAGTATGGACACAGCTTGTAAGAAAGAAAGATAGCATATTCATAGTCATAACAATTTTAAATAACAATCCGTCAAATTCTTGACCATTATATCAACATTAGTCATAACAAAAGTTACATCAATTGGTAAATCTTTTTTTCTTTGGATAGCATAAAAGTTCTGTAGTAACCAAAGTAACTTTAAAAAATACAATCATAGGAAAATGATGACCAAAAAAAATCTTGTCACCTGGAGTATTATGGTTTTAAAGTTATTATACAACTTTGGAATGTGAATCTCATGTTTATCGAATAAATAATTAATTTGCTTGAAAAGATCATTACAGAAATTTGAAATGCCTCTGTAAATATTAAACATAAAATTTATTTTTAAAAATATAAAAAAATAACAATATTCCACTCAATGACAAGAGCTATTATATAGAATTCTAAAAACTAAGCTGACATTAAATGTCTTTAAATCATTGTTTTTTAAATTTTAATTTAAATCTTGGAAGCAAATTTAAACATATAATTGTATATAACATTATATTAACATTATATTAAAAATATAATCATAATGTAATTTACCCATGTAAATAATAATATTTGCCTTATAAAAAGTCCATTTCACAAAGATATTGAACTATTATTTGAACTCTGAGGTGTCTTGTATAAAAACAACATAACAGTGCATCATCTAAAACATACACTTTTGCTAGATGTGTTGAAAACAAGTATGGAACTTTAACAAATTATTATTGAAAGAGGATTTAAAAGTAATAATCTGTAAAAATTTCTCAATCAAATTAACAAATAATAACTTTCTGAACAAACAGCAGTATTATCATATTTGGTACATTATCATTTTTTACTTGAACATTTCACTCATTTTATTAATAAAAAACTTAAATTCACTGCTTAAGGTGAACAACTCACAAACATTGCAGTCTGTTATAAAATAACCTTCACTGCTGAGGGTAAACAACTCACAAACATTGCAGTCTATTAAAATACAACCATTACTCCTGAGGGTAAACAACTCACAAACATTGCAGTATATTATAATACAACCTTCACTGCTGAGGGTAAACAACTCACAAACATTGCAGTCTATTAAAATACAACCTTCACAGCTGAGGGTAAACAACTCACATACATTGCAGTCTATTAAAATTTAGGCTGTGACTATTCGTACCCGGGTATCAGAAGTGAGAGGTTGGGATTAAAAAACTATTTAAAATTTTATTGTTGGGTTTGTAAGACAAAATGAGGTATAAAATGAAAGATAATTGAATGGCTATATTTTTGTAAACTTACTTCTTCAGTTTAACTAAATAAACTACCGCAAATGACATCTGAATAGCTTGAGTCTAATGGTACCCGGGTGCGAATGGCGGCGCTGCATGTCTGGGTCCATTTTGACTCAATGCTATTCGGATGTCATTTGTGGTAGTTTATTTTAGTTAAACTGAAGAAGTAAGTTTACAAACATATAGTCCATTGAATTATCTTTCATTTGATACCTCATTTTGTCTTACAAACCCAACAATAAAATTTTAAATAGTTTTTTAATCCCAACCTCTCACTTCTGGTACCCGAGTACGAATAGCCACTTCGTAAAATTTAAGTTCATCTAATAGCCCTCACCAAATCCATAATAATTTTATAAATAAAATGACAGAATACTGAAAACATAACTTTCATTAAAAATCATTTTCAAAGCTCTCACGGAATGTTGAGTAATTCATTGGTTGCAAGGATCTCCTGAATAATATCATAAACTGGCTGACCGGCGTCCACCACCTGACCCAGAAGCACCATCACTTTGGTGTAATCATGCTTGCACATAACTTCAATCAGGTGTCTCTTGGATGGTAGCGCATGAACAGCCAGAGATGCAATCTTCTGGGTATACCACGGGTGATGGTGGAACAGGGTCTCTGTGTACACTTCCCATGCCAGTATGGACATCTTCTCATTTTGATCACCTTTCATAATCCTTCTCATAAAAGACAGAATAAATTCAAGAGCATGGTGGAGCCTCAGCAACATACGAGTCCCAGAGGATCTTGGAGTTTTCATTTTGGCAATTTTAACCTCCAATTCATAAGCAACCATGGACTGTATAGTGTGGTAATGGTGGCCATGATTAGAATGTGCATGGTATTCAATAGCCTTAATTTTAGACTCCAAATCTTTGGCCACAAATCCGAATAGATGCCCTGTGAGTTTGAAAAAGCGACATAATTCACGGTAAGCCAGTAGATATTCCTCTAAAATTAATGTCCTATCATCTGTAACACATTTTTGAAAAGATGTGAGAACTTTTTCTAAATTAAAGTCATGCTTCTTGCTTCTATCAAATGCTGCCATTTCAAATGAGCACAATCAAATAATCAGCTGTAAGGATATCTAAGTCTGTGATGACATTGTCAATGACATTGTAGCAGAGTTTTTAATCTTCAATTGATCTGGGGGGAAAAAAGAGATCAATAACTTAATAATTCTAAAATGAAAAAAAATTATTTTGTGCCAGCAGTATTTTTTGTTGTTGTCATATTTGTGTACATACCCAGTCAAATTTTTGGGTTGTTTTAAAATTTAAATTTATAGTTTTTTTTTTTTTTTTTTTTTTTTTTTTTTTTTTTTTTTTTTTGGGNTTTTTTTTTTTTTTTTGTTGTGGGTGTTTTTTTGGATTTAAAAAAAAAATGTAAAAGCTTTGAGGAGCTTTGTTTAGAAAATAGTTTGCTTTTCTTTGAAATAAAAATGTTCCATCTATATTAACATAACTAAAGCCTGTTCTATTTTTGTTTAATGATTTATTTATTTTTTACTTTTGCTTAATAGAAAACTAAATAATACTTGTTCACTATTCTCATTATCCATATTTCTGCACAATTGATTTGCAAATAATTTAAAATTAACAGATTGAGTTAACATTAAATGTATAATTTTGTTAATGTGAAATAATATTTCAATCGACTTTTAATTTAACACTTTAAATTAATAATAATAATAGCAATAAACAGCCTTTCTAAGAAACTTGAACATAAGGTTTTCACAGTGAAGAGTTTAACATAATCCAAATTTTTACCTTCAAACTTCAAGTCAAATGCTGTGTTCTTATGTCATTACCCTATGATGTTATACATAAAAGAGAGAAAATGAAAACTTTTTTTAAGATTATGATGTTCTTTTTTTTGCACAATATATTTAAACTAGATGGAAAAATGACAATCAATTATAAATATTTAAATTTATCAAGACAATGCTAAATGCCCATGGCCGATTGGTGCATAACTAAACTCTTGCCCAATACTAGTAATCCGTGGTTTACCCGATTTTTTTGTCACATCTAAGCACTTAAAAAGGTTTAATAATCCCCTTTCCCCACATACACTTTTTATTTTTAAACGGAAGGGCTAAAATAAAATCTTAATGCTGCCATCAGGAAGATAAAATTATAATTTAACAGCCTATTTCAGCATCAAAATTCAATGTTGTGAGATAAACCTTATAATTAAGGGCAAATATATTTGCATTCTAATTTTCTATTTCATAAATCAATTAAATGACAATCAATAACAGTGACTAACTTAAAATTGTTTCTTTCTTACACGATTTCCTATATTAGGCTATATCACTACTTCAGGTTAAAGTGGCATCCTTTTTCCCCCCAAAAAAAAAAAACAAAAAAAATCTTCTTACCCCCCCCCCCCCAATAAAAAAAAAAGGTCATAAGTTGGGAAACACTACATTTATAAAAGTCACAGAATAAATAACATACAATTAAATTCCAATACTCACCAATTTCCTCTAATTTGAATCAAATTTTTAAAAGTTTAAAATGATAGTTATTAATATAAGTATTATAAGTATACGTTTATAATTATAACCCTTATAGTTTATAGCCTATAGAATTGAAAATTTGTCTTAGTCTAAGAATCAGCCTCAAGCTTATTTAACTCTATGTAGTATAATATATTCTATGATAAGAGCCAATGTTAGAAAGTTCTTAAAGTCAGCTTAAACTTAAACTTTACCTAGAAGAATAATACCTTTTCGTTAGACTTAACTGAATTCTTTGAGTTAAAGCTGAATGTCAGCATTACACATCATGATTGTCATCATTTCACACATGGGAACTTTAGCCCACTTATTGGATTCCCTATTATAATACTATTATTATATATGCAAGCTTAAGGCTTAGGACTTTGGGTCTTACGCTAGTGCTTGGTAAAGTATGTTATATTATATTATATATCGTATATCACTGAACAGTGTTTTTATATTAATATTTAATTCACTTGTTTGATGCACAGATTAAGCCATTTTGCAGTTTAATAAATAGTAAATATTTGTGTGTATTGTCAAAAAACAACAACACACAAATTGTCTTATAATTACAAACCAGAACACAAATATTAATAAGGGTTTGTTTTGTCAATAAATTTCTCCACACTTTAAGACCATGACATCTCATAACTTACAGTATAGACAACACATTATAAGAGCCAAGTCTGCTAAATTTCAAAATAGAAGTAACAAATTATACATATTCTGAACCTTTGTAATCTTTATGTGTGTCTCCGTCCATCTTCCTATTCGAATTTTAAAAAAAAAATCTTCAAGGATTTAATCTCCTAATCTATCTCTCAAAATACGTTTTTGGGTCGTAAAATGTTCACTATGAAAATATCTGGTAACTACCGCCCAAGAAGTCGAGCACCCCCCCCCCCTGTTTGTAGCTCACTTAAAAACCNCACGTAATAACCGGCTATTGCCTAAAAAGCACAAGTTACTGTGACTATATCTATTAGACTTTTCAAAGGCATCCGTAATCCCGTTTCCTTCCAATGCCAAAGCTCCTACCATTGTTTAAAAATTCTATACATATTTTTAAAAAAAATTATATAGTGTAAAAATACTCTTAGGTCCTAATGCTTTATCTCATTGTATCACTGAAGTAAGATAACATTTTAAAAGCAGTTAAGTTAAAGTTTTTTAAACGCTAAAAAAAAAAAAAAAAAAAAATTACAACTATCAGGTAGGATGTTCCATCGTTGACTTTAATTTTAAAAGCTGCATAAGAAATGAAATAGTGATTTTAAATAAATCCTATTGACTATTGAAATTTTACTATTGAAATTTATAATAAAATACCTTTCACCAAAACCAACACTTTATAAAGCCTCACAGTTTTAAGTTAATTTGCATACTATTTCTAAGTTAGAATATTTGTCATATTACTAATTTAAGATTGGCGATTTGATAAAAATGTTTTAAAAAATGTTTATACACATACCAGAATGTTCCTTGTGTTCGGAGTGTAAGTTTATGGCACGAAAGGGGGCAAAAAAGGAGTAGGCCTATGGTATTTTTACAATGACATTTTTATCGTGACCCAGTATCGCATTGTTAGCATACATGTAGGCATTGTAGGCCTAGTATCAAATAACAGTGTTACCCATTACAACCAGTGACACACTGAGCCGAATCAATGTAATGAAATTTTGAGTATCGTATGAGAACTGCTGGCCTATTTTTAAAAATCTATATATAAATAAACTGATATCTTAGGCCACTTGAATCAAGATTATCGATTTTAAAAGTTATATATACTAGCTTTCCTAATACATGTATTTAGAGCAAACAAGCTGACTCCGGCCATTTTTAGGCTTTACAAATTAAACAAACTACAAGCTAGCACAACATCACTAATTTAAAAAAAAAAAAGGAAAAAGTTGTACGATTACGTTTACAATGCATATGTTTTTGTAATTGGGATATCCACCAATCCCTGTGGCGCCACAGTCCACGTAGGGCTTTGACCTGCCTCATCACTTCCTTCCACTCAGACCTAACTGATGCTTTTCTTTTTTCTTTTTCAAATTTGGATTCTCAGCTGCTGTATATCTTTTTCAAACATCATACATCAATGTAAGTTTGGGTCTGTCTTTGAGCCGTTTTTCTCTGGAGTTTTGGTGGGGCACCCTCTTCACCCCTATTTCATTTTGCATTCTTCACAAGTGTCTGGCCCAGCGAAGCCTGCCCTCTCTTATTTCTGCTATTAGCTAGTGAGTGGGATCCTGATATAGTTTATACTACACTTATCTACACTATACTATACAATGATACAATTCTGTATTCGGAATTTGGTTGCAGAATAATGGAAATAGGACTATGATAATCATCAGCTTAGCTAGTCTGTAGAAAAGCCATACTTAACTTTTACCACGCCTATAATCCCTTACACAAAACCTATAATCTCATAAGCATAGCCCATAATCATCGTGGAGACTTAATGAATATAAAATAAAACCGAAACCTATAAAGGTCATAAATATAATCCAGTTCTCCTGAGTATAATACATTTTCCTTTTTTAATGATGTCAACTTATTAAACTGTCTAATACACTATGTATATTATAAAATGTAAAATATATCTATAGCCCCTGGATGACGTGAAAATAAACTTTAAAATATTAGAGAATTTATCCATAAGCTTCTTACTTCTGGAAGGCCTAGGTCTCTGAACTTTCAAATCTACCACGGTCAGAGGCGTAGCGAGGGGGGGGGGCAAGTGGGACAGATGTGCCCGGGCGCACGCTAGTTAGGGGCGCCAAAATGTGCTTTGCTATTATATTATTGGTAAAAATAATGGGTTTGAGAGTTGAAAAAAAAGAAAAGGGGGCGCTTTAAAATGGATCTTGTCCCCGGGCGCCAAACACCCTCGCTACGCCTCTGACTACGGTTAAACTTTCCATTTAAATTATTCGACAAGATAAAGGATGGGGTTTTTATAAGTAAATATGAGTTGATATCAATTTACAGATGTAACAACTGAAACACACCAAAAATGATATTAGTGGCTTTGTCAATATGAGTTTTGTTGCATTTTATCGAGTGGTGTAGGAAAGGGGTGCGGTCAGCCCCTGGTGGCACTTTTTTTTTCTCCATACAGGGGTGGGCGGAATTTTTGGAAAAGTGTAGCGAAAAGAAAGAGATGAAAAGACGTAAGAAATAATTTTATTTGACCATCAATTACTACCAAGATTATTATGCGATAATGGAACTCTTTTTAAAAAAAATTGGCCAAATAAATCTATATGTTTTATTAGCCCAAATATTCTGACCTCGTTATATAGAAATATTGGGAAGGGGGGAAAATAGGAGCCAAGTAAGCCGAAACAAGCGGTAGGCTAGGATGACCAGACACTCAAAGGAGGGCATTAATTTAAAAGATATTTTCTTTTCATTACATGGGGGTGACAAGAAATAAACTGAATGCAGGCTATTGTGACAGCTGGTGTAATTCAGGCCTAGACAAACACAACACACAAGTATGCTTTAGTAATACTCTGCCGGAGGGAGGGGCAGGGGGAATCAGTTTCAATGTGTTTTAATAGTTTGTTTTTTTCAAATTGAGAAACACAACTCAGGGGACGTCCATTAATTACGTCAACAATTTATAAGCAATTCTTGACCCCCCGCCCCCCTTTACTACTTGTCAAAACTTCAAAATTTTAAATACCCGCCCTAAGTCAACATTTTTATAGCAAAATATATAAAATACAGTTTACTTTGTGCTAATCTGTTTTAATTATACAAAATTGTAGGGAAAACATTTTATTGCATCTTTAGCTTGTTAATCAACAAGTTAAAGCGTTTTTAGACTAAAATTTTAAAATGAAGAATCAATGAAAATGTTGTTAAAGACTAAATATAGCTGTTTCTAGGAAGTTTAAATACGTTGTCGTTATAGCTGAAAATTGTGTCAAAATTTCTAGCTGCTATCATCTTCCCAGGGAGAAGCCAGGTGTTGCTCTATCGTAACAATGGGCATAGTAGCTGATTTATCATTTTCATCTTGCAGAACTGATCTACCAGGCAAGTCAACATCATCCTCATCTAATCATGCAACACTTAAAATAGAAGCATTGTCAGTGTGAGCAATAATAGCCAAAAGCTCTCTCTGTCTCATGATTTTTTTTTTTTTTTGAATTTTTTTTTTTTTTTTTTTTTTTTGAGGGGCTGGTGGTAATTTCTTATGCACTGTCGGTGCTGTTGAACATGCTATTTCAACATGACTTGTGATACAAAATAGATGTTATAGATTTTGCAAATCCGCCCAAGCAGTGATGTTATTTTTTTTACTCACTTTATTTTCCCTGAATTCTCAAAATATCGTATTCCTACTCAATCAACACCTTTTACCTTGACCGCACATGACTCTTGAACTTTTCCCTTGTTCCATGCCTGCAACATGATCGCAAACGTACCGCCCTAGTCATTTGCGACAAACAGAATCTACAGGCGAAGAGAGGCCAACTTTTGACTTCTCTTGCACTAACAAAGTGTGCTAACATTCTGACCAGCCATCAGCAGTGCACAGACACACATTAAATAAATCTTATATTGTTAAAAGCCTAAAAATTATATAGTCTAACTATTTTAATTTACACTCATTAAATTTGTTAAAATAATGTAATAGCCAGTCAATTTTTTAAATAAAATTTTTAATAGAGAAAACATGATTGTTGACGTCAAATAATATATCCCCCTTGTCAACATATATCAAACATTTCCACTCCCCCCCCCCCACTATTTTGTTGACATAATTAATGGACGACCCCTTACACAAGTTATTATGACACATGAGAATCAGCCATTTAATAGAGATAAACTTTTAAAAGATTATCTTTAAATGCAGCCAATGTTATCTTATGCATAGAAATTTACGTAAAATGTATCTTTAGTCTAATCTCAATGTATATGTATACATGGGCGCCCGCAGGTAGGGGCAAAGGGGTGGCACTTGCCCCCCCCCCCTGGATTGATTGGATAATTTTTTTTAGACAAAAATAGACACAAAATTTATTAAAGTAAAGAGAAAATAAAGAGAAAGTAACTAAGCTGATGTCCTGTCCGTTCGTTCACCATACAAATACGCTACAGTTTCCCCCCCCCCCCCTGGAAAGTTAATCAATTTTTTTTGCCCCCCCCCTAGAAAGTTTTCTGCGTGCGCCCATGTATGTATACATATATATATGTATGTATGTATATATTATATACAGTGGTAC